GACCCTCATCTGGGTAGCCAGCTGCCCCCGTCAATCAGCTGTGTACAATTCGGCCCTGATTCTGTACACAGAATGGGGTATTGGGAAGGGGGGTTAGAGGCTATAAGGGGGAGCAGGACTAGGGGAGGGAGCTCCATCTAGGCAGCTATAGGAACACCATTTCCCCTGCCATATAAAGACATTCTAGTGTGACCTTTTGGGGGTGGAGCACCCACAGTCCTGTAAGTAATGTCTCACCCATTGCTTTGTAAGCAAACCTAATGAACACTTTGGTTCCACAGAGCGAACATGGTGGAAGTTTACCTGGGTTTGCCATCAGAGCAGCAGAGGGGTACTCTAGGCAGAGGGCTAGATTTTTTTTTTTCTGTCTCCTTGTGGGAAGGAATTTGAACAACACTTGATAGATAGCTAGTAGGATCCAACAAAACCAAAGATGGGCTTGGGAAGAACATTGGTGTCCCTGGTGTGGGAAATGAGACAAACACTGAAGTGACATTGTGTGGAGGGAGCGGGGTTAATTTTGAGGAAATTTTGACATGGTGGTCTGTCCCTATAGGGCTTGTGGGGGTAGTGGCAGGGACATGAAAAGTGCAGGGGATAGTGAGACAGACATATAACTAAAGTAAGGCCACCTGGGTGATGGAGGATGGGGATGTGGGTGGGTCTAGGTATGGTAGTTTAGGTGATATAGGGTGGCATGTTTGCTGGGCAGGGTCTACCGTGGGAGTATGGAGATAACTTTGAGAACAGCTAAAGGTCTAGAGTAGGTGTGACAGGCCCTAGGAGTGGGTGGAGGTGTCAGCAAGAGCTGCAGAGGCTGCTGGGCTGTTGCTATGGACAGCAAAAGGTCTGTCCCAGGCAGAGGTGACTACCCAGAGGGAGACTACAGGCATAAAGGATGAACTGCTGCGAGAAATGGATGTAAGTGCTGTCTTTAGTATTGGCCTCAGACTTAGCAGGTAATTGGATAAAAGATAAGGAGAAATGGAGACGTTGCTCTGCCATTTTTCATGGTGCTAGGGTAATGGCTAATAGGGAAAGGGGCCCGGATAAGACCAATAATATAGTTCCTTCTGGGACCACAAAAACATGGATTCCCTGGGACAAGTCAGATAGCAATGAGGAAGGAAGAGGGACTCATAAGGGACAGAAGATGCACCTCAGGTCTTACCTTTCAATCAGAGAAAGGGAAAATCTATGGTCCGGCATGCCAATGGAGGTCTTAACAATAGTCTGGTGCAGACCATGGTAACCAGAATATCCAGCGTCAGAGCTGCTGGAGCTAAGGAAGATTTTGAAACAAGTAGTGAAGGAGTCACACACCCCCCACCCCCACCCCCTGCTGTGGCCTGGCTTGTGGGACATGGAGACACGCTCTATCAGTTTGGTGCTATGGAGAGAGAGAAGCTGAGCAGTATAATCACAATTCCTCCTTGAGACAAAGACTTCACGATCTAAGGCAATACTTGGTAAACCCTGATGGATCAGCTCATGTGAGTCATTGGGAACACAAGCTTATCTCCAACTGAGGTGCCCGTGAATATCAGGAACTAGAAAGCAATAGACTGGCAGACACTAGCGAGGGAATTGCGTATGCAGGAATTGTATTCTGATGCCTAATCCACAGGCCCAGACTGTGTTTATGGGAGACCCTAGAAAGAAATTGATTCAGCAAGGACCTGAGACTGGTATGGAGTATTGGTGGCTGTGCTAAACACCTTAGTGGGGCAGGGTCTTTATGAAGCATTTTCTTCCTGCAGAAGGTGATGCTAGAGCTGGAGATGGTTTGCCCAATCAGGGTCTCCCTAGCATCCAGGTGTGGATGGAGAGTCAATAGCTGTGGCTATAACCACAATGCCAACCCAGGACCCCTTGGACACAGGAAACCAGTAAATACCACAGAGGACAGAAGGGCCTAGCTCCTCCTTGAGTCTGTGAGGGACTGAGCATCTTCAGCCAGCCCGGTTGAGTTCATCAGGGCAGGAGAAATACAGGGAGGTCCCATGGAAGAGCTCTGGGACACAGAGGTGGACGGCTTGGAGAGAATGACAGAGGACTATGGAAAGCTAAGTTAGTGTCTGCTATCCGTGCAACTGTATCCAACGTTTATGTGGGGAGGAATCAATGGATATAAATGGAAGGAATCTTTCTGTGCTATATCAGACCTTGCTGATGTGTGACTTCAGTATCTTTTTAGTTTTAAACTTCTGCGATCACTTGATGCCTGCTTGGAGCAGATGGCAATGGACTTTCAGAGTGCTTCACCAAGGTTATCTTTATAATTCCACTATTCATTACGGAATAGTGGCTCAAGACTTTGCATCATTGTTCTGCCTATCCTCTATAGAGGTTTTGCTACATAGTGATAGCATGATGCTAACCTTTCAGTGGGCCTATTGACTGTTTTCATTCCCTCATAGAAGGGAGTGGAGCAGAGGGTCATGGGACCCTCAACTGAGTAACCATGGCACAGGAGCCCATTTATTTTCCAAGAATTATAATGAACAATCATTAGAATGAATTTTTTACTTGTTTGTTTGTTTGTTTGTTTTGAGACAGGGTTTCTCTGTGTAGCCCTGGTTGTCCTGGAACTCACTCTGTAGGCCAGGCAGGTTTCAAACTCAGAGATCTGCCTGCCTCTGCCTCCCAGATGTTTGAATTAAAGGCGTGCACCACCAATGCCCAGAGTGCCCATGTTTTAAGTCAAATTTGTTGTTTCCAATGATAGCATCTTGTACCAGGCTTTTTCTTTTAGGCCACCAAACAGCTTCCAAATCATGACATGGAGACTTATTAGTTATGATATGAATGCTCAGCCTTATTGTATATCTTACTTTCCTGCTGTCTCCATGTCTATCTGTCTGGCAGCTGCCTGGTTTCTGGGAATATCCCTCCTTTTTTCTTCCTCCTCTTCTCTCTTCTTCTCTCTTCTTCCTTTGCCTAGATTTCCCCTCCTACTTATTCTCTATGCTACTCTGCCCCACCTATCTCTCTTCTGCCTAGCTATAGGCCATTCCGCTTTTTGTTAGACTAATCAGGTGTCTTAAGCAGGCAAGGTGAAACAAATGTAACACATCCTTACATGGTTACAAATGCAGCATAAACAAATGTAACACAACTTTGTAATATTCCACAACAGGATCTTCATAGTGTCCTACTGAAGAACTGTAAAACACCGATTTTAAAATTTCTTTAAAAGCTGATTTTTGGCAGCTGTCATCCAGTTTCTCTTTCTCAACTACACCATAGGTCCTTTCATTGGATGTCCCCAGGGGCATTTTGATTCAACATAGTTAAAGAAAATTCATTGCTTTTCCCCCTGGTGACTTTTTCTTCTTCTCAATCCAGTAACTGATCCTGCGCCATTCCTTAGCTCTCTCTGCTGCTAGTTGTCAATGGTGCTGCCTTCTCTTTACCACATTCCCAGGACTTGTTCCTTTTCACTTAATACCCTAACTCAGCCTCTTCTTACCACGGACCTAGAATGCTGCATTGCTAAAACGGTGACTGGTCCCTATCCTTTGTACTCTTTGTTCTCACACATAGACTCAGAGCTATTCTGAGGCAGTCGTCTCCAACCCTCAGGGAAACACACTTTATCCATAAAAATGATTGAGCATAAATCTCTAGTATTATATACATATATAATATATATAATATAATATATTTCTAAATCATATACCTGGATAACTAAACATATATATTACAAAATAGAGATAAGTATATATTAATATGAAATTAAAAGGAAATAGAATGTAACATTCCCCCCCCACTCCACCACCCCCACCCCCTGCCAGTACTAAGGAGCAAACCCAAGGCCTCTAATATTCTAAGCCAGCATTCTACCACTGATCTATAACCCCAGTCTGGTTTTTAATTTACATTTTTGAGATTTTAGAAGCTAAAACTGTGTGTTCTTCCTATAATTGGGAAACATCCACTGTTTTCAAAACATATTGGCTTACCAACTTGTGAGGCAGTAATTTACATGTGCTCTTCTAATCTCAGTTCACTTTTTAAAATAGGCTTTGACTGCCATCATAGCTGACAAGGATATTCTTAGTTATCAGCACCAAATGCACCCAAAGTGTCTTACTAAATCCCAACCTTAATTCCCAGACAACTTTCACGAAAGGTCTTACTGGATGCAGCCAGCAGGGAGGCCAGCATGTGTGCCTGTAATTTCAGAACAGCAGTCTGTTGTTCTGTTGTTTTGTTTGGCAGCACTGAATTGGAACCTAGGCAAGTATTAGCCCATTGAGCTACACCCTCAGCCCTTACAACTTTGAATTCACAGAATTAAGAAGAAAAAAAAGAGGATCAATGGTGGTGTCCATTGGCAGTCGTGATGACAGAAACAGCCATCCCCAGAGGCAACTTCAGTTTCTGTAGTATAATAGTCCAATGTCAGCTCAATCACCACTCTTCCAAGCAACAGAGATCAGAGAACTTTCAGGCTGATTCAGGTTTATGACATTATTTAGACTGCTGTCTAGTTGCTGTAAGGGCCTTCTTGCTCTACCTATTCTCAGAGCCTGCTACTCCATTTTCCTCAACAGTACCTCTTTTGTAAACTCCTTTTGTGCTTAAATAAACTAGAGTCAGTTTTGGTTCCTTGCAACTAACAACTCTGGCTAATCAAGGATAAACTTTGCATTTTCACTGTCACTAACACTGTGTGTGTGTGTGTGTGTGTGTGTGTGTGTGTGTGTGTCATAAAATTGAACAAAAAACCCTTAGAAGAATTCACCCCAGCCAGGTGGTGGTGGTGTACACCTCTAATCCAGAACTTGGGGAGGCAGAGGCAGGTGGATCTCAGTGAGTTTGAGGCTAGCCTGGTCTACAGAGCAAGTTCCAGGAAAGGTGCCAAAGCTGTACAGAGAAACCCTGTCTCGAAAAAACGGAAAAAATTTCATCCCTAAATAGTGGTTTATTACAATGATATTAATGTGATTCTTAATGGTGAAAGACTGAAGTCTTTTCCTTAGAATAAGGAGCAAGTTTTCCCTTTGGCAGCACATACACTAAAATTGGAACAGTGCAGAAATTAGCATGGCTTCTGTGCAAGGATGACATGCACACTCACGCAGCACTCCATATTTTAAAGCTGGATGTGGTGGCACACCCATCAGTCAGGGTAATTAAATGAGAAAAAAGAAACTAATGAAAGTCATCTAAATAAGAAAAAAGGTATAACCACTGCTATTTGTAGATGACATCATCTTATCTCTAGATAGACAAGCCTAAGGTAACCACTAAAAATCTAGAAGTTCAGCAAGGCTGCACAAAACAAGAGGAACATGAGCTGTACTTTTTTTTTTAATGTTCTGTTTTTAAGACAGGGTCTTGTTATGTAACCCAGTCTAGCTTTGAACTCTCAATCCTTCTGCTTTAGCCTCTAAAGTGCTAGGATTATGGGCCTATGCCACCACACTTGGCTTCAATGTATTTCTATGCTCTTGACACTCATGATGAGAAAATGAAGTGAAGAAAACAGACCATTTATGATGTCATCAAAAAGAGTAAGATGCTTAGGAATAAGTTTAAGGAAAAGAAGTACTGGATGTGTACATTGAAAAGTCATAAGACATCACTGAAAGAAACTGGGACTGAAATAAACAGAAAGGCTTCCCGGGCTCGTGATTGGATGACTAGATAGTGTTAAGATGGCACAGCTCCCAACTTCTATGTATCTAGTGCAATTTCTATCAAAATGCCAGCAGCAGCTTCATTTTCATCTTCTTCTTACTCTTGTTTATTCTTTCAGAAATTTCTGAGTTGCTCCTAACATATATAGAGAAATGCCAAAACTACCTGAAAAACCTAAAAACCTATCAAAAAGCATAGGTAATTAAGAGTTTGATTCCCCAGTACTCCATAAACTGGGCACAATGGTGCTCACATTTAATTCCATCATTCAGGAGGTGGAAGCAGGAGAATCAGGAGTTTAAGGTCACCCTCAGCTACATGGTGAGTTTGAGATCAGCATGGGATATGTTAAATACTGTAGAAGAGAATGTCAATAGCCTAGGGGTAGATATTAATGGAACGGAACTGGGTGTCCAGAAAGCCTTCCCAGTTCTTGTTAACTGATTTTCAACAAGGGTGTTAAAGCCACCAGGGGGAAAGAACGGCCTTTTTAACAACTGATGCTGGGCCACTGGTTGGTAACTTACAAAATAATGAATTTGAACCATCTCGTGCTATATATGACCAAATGGATCTCGGTTCTAAAACCATAAAACTCTCAGAAGAAAACATCGGAATAAAAAAAAAGAAAACATAGGAATAAATCTTTGTGTTAGTGAACAAGGGAATAATGTCTTAGATATGTCATCAGAAATACAAGTAACAAAAAGAATAGCCAGGCATAGTTGCAATGTCTGTAATCACAGTCCGTGGGAAGTGGGAGTAGAAGATCAGGAGTTCAAGGTCATCCTCAGCTACATAGCAAGTCTATGGCCAGCCTACATGAAACCTTGTCTCAAAATGAAGAATAAAACACAGAATAGGGGTTGGGAGGGCTGGGGATCTTTTTATATCTCCCAATGGAAGGCTTTAGTATACTAGGTTTCAAGTGTCTCAGTTTTCCTAGCAGGCAGAGACTACAGGCAGGTACCACCTTACTCCACTTGGCTTAGATAGCTTTATTAAAGTTAATTAAAATTAAAAATGTCTATTTCATAAGGAAGACTATAAAGAAATTAAAAGGCAGCCTGCAAACTGATGGAAAATATTTGCACATCATATATATAAGGGACATATAATTTGAATATGTAACGATCCTTATGACTCAATTTAAGTTCCCACTTAAAAACAGGCAGAAGATTTTAACAGACGTTTTTTTTTCTAAAGAAAATATACAAATGTCTAATAGGCTCATGAAAAGATATTCAGTATTATTACCTACTAAAGAAAAGCAAATGAAAACCACCTTGAGAATAGTAGTGTTAATGCTGTAAAGTGGATTGTAGTGATTGCTACCTTGACTTGTGTGTGAATGTAGAAAAAAATAACAAACAAAAAATGGACTGTGAATGTTACATGGTGAGCTGTACTTTAGTGACCTATAGTTCAGTAAAGCTATTACAATCCCCAAACACTACACAGACATACAGACACACAGATACACAGACACATACACTGAGATGTCACCTTTTGCTTGTTGGTGAAAAAAATTGGAACTCTCATACATTGATGATTCGATAAAATATTTCCATTTTAGAAAACTGGGGTTTCATTCTTTAAAATGTGAAATAGTTACCATCTGACTAACAATTACATTCACAGATGTGTACCCAAGGAAATGAAAATGTGTGCACTTGAGACTTCTGTTGTTGGCAGCATGGTTCACAATAGCTCAAGACTGGAAACAATCTAAAAGTTTGTGAATTATTGAATGAATAAACATCTGTAATGACATTTTACTATAACAAAAACAATGAAGTCCATGGTGTCTAAAGACACCATGCTGGGGGCTGGAAAGATGTCTCAGCAGTTAAAAGACTTGCTTTTATTTTATTATTAATATTTTTCATTTTATATGCATGGGTGTTTTACCTGAGTGTATGCCTGTGCACCATGTGTGTGCCTGGTGGCTGTAGGGGCTAGAAAAGGGCATCAGATACCCTGGAACTGGAGTTACAGATAATTGTTAGCCACCATATGGGGGCTGGGAATTGAACCCAGGTCCTTTAGGAAAGCAGCCAGTGCTCTTAACTGCTGAGCCATCTCTCCAGCCTTAAGAAATTGCTTTTCTTGCAGAAGACCTGAGTTGGGTTTCCAGCTCCTATGTTGGGTGACTCACAACTGCCTTGTCACTCCAGCTCTAAGGGATCGAATGGCTTCTTACAACCTCAGTAGATACCCCCTCTCATTCACACACACACACACACACACACACACACACACACACACAGAGAGAGAGAGAGAGAGAGAGAGAGAGAGAGAGAGAGACATATACACCATGATTAAACATAAATCTAAAAACTACACTCATGTGAAGAGTAAAGAAGCTAGTTAAAAAGTGAAAACAAAACAAAAAAACACCATTTTGTGTGATTATGCTCCCCTAATATGTTCAGGGCTAACACCTGCAGAGCCAGAAAGTCAATTATCAGCTTCTGGGGCTGGAAAACAGGGAGGAAATAGGGAGTGACTGCCGAGGATTTCTTTGGGGGAAAAAAAAAGTTCCAAAATTAGATAGTAGTGACAGTTGTACAATTCTGTGAATATATTAAACAGCACAGAATTGGATTTTTTTTAAAATCCATTGTTTGTGTGAGGAAGTGATTTGACCGCAAGCATACATGTGCACCTTTTATGTGTCTGGTACCCATGGAAGTCAGAAGAGGGCATCAGATCCCCTGGAACTGGAGTTATAGATGGTTATGAGCTGCAACATGGGAGCTGGGAACCAAACCCCGGTCCTCTGCAGGAGCAAATGCTCTTAACCACTAAGGCCTCTCTCAACCCCCTCAAAACCGTAATTTTAAAAGGCAAGTTTTATATGAATTGTATATCAAACCTCTTACTGAAGTTTTTATAAAAATAACTATAATAATGCAAGAATCACACATCACAATAGCATTCTAAAGCCAAACAATGAATAGGATGCTAAAATGAAATGTGCTCTGTATAAGTATCTGAAAATATGATTATTCTGCAAAAGTAGACAATGAACAGTACAGGTAGTAGAAGGATGGTGTGAATGCACAGTTGCATTTCTCCATGTGTTGCATCGAGGTTGTGCTGGTCGATGTCCACAGAGCTGGAAAAACATCACTTGAGGGAAGTAGACCAAGTAAAGAGGACCGGTTGTCACCAATCCCTACCATCACCCAGGTGACCATCATCCAACCCATGGAGGGAACAAAACGGCAGCAAAAGTGCACATCTTCTCTGTTGGGGCTGTACCATCCGTCTTCTCCTTGCTTGGACCAGGCTCTTCTGTTTTTCAGGCCTTCAGGCTCAGAATGGTTACAGCACCAGTCTTCCTGGGTTTCAACTTTGCAGTGGCAGATGGTGGAACTGTAAATATTGTGGCATCTGTACTGGCCTGCACTTAGGGTCCTAACAGGATGCATCCTCGGCTGCAGCCGCTAAGAGCACCACCTGTGCACATTCGTTACATTCCCTTATAAAAGGTGGGCCTTGCCCACCTCCTGTCATCTCTTTATCTTTCTTATTTTTCTTTCTCTTTCTCCTTCTCTCTTTCTCTTTCCCTATCTTTCTCTTCCACTACTCTTGTCTACAGGGACCTGTCTCTGCCCCCTTCTTTTCCCCTTCTCTCTCCTCCTCAAATAAACCTACTATGTGAGCCTTGTTGAATGGCGTGAGTTCTCTTCGTGGGAGTTTTTAAAATTACAACAGGGACCCCTTAGCCTTTATGGTGATACAATTCAATCCCAGAAGTCTCATCACGGATAAAGATAGACAAGTACCTAGAGTTAGACTACTGGTTCTATATTTCTGGAGAGCCCTGACAGATACACTGTGTTCAACATTTATTCATTCCTATTTCTGAATGTATTGTTAAATTTTAATTTATATAGGAGCATAAAGCTACCCATCTTTCTCTTTTCTTTTCCTTCTTTTTTTTTTTTTTTTTTTTTGGATGGGAGAAGGGATTTCAAAACATAGTTTCTCTTCGTAACAGCCCTTTGTAGACCAGGCTGGCCTTGAACTCACAGAGATCCACATGCCTCTGCCTCTCAAGTGTGGGGATTAAAGGCATCTTCTCTGCCACCACCACCACTGGGCTCTCCTTTGCTTATTTATTCATCTTTGTGCTGAAGACAGAGGCCAGTTCTCACATGAGGTAAGCACTTGTTTTTCTCCTGAGGTCTGCCCCAGATACCACCCATGACTGTTTATATGGGTTTGTCTGTTTTTGTTTTTTAACTGTCATTTTCAGACAAATCACAGGCTTGTCTAGTGTGGAAATGTTTTTCCCTCCTAGAACAAGATCTTGCTTTCCAAATGGATGAATTTTTAGATCTAATGGACTTAGTAAACACCAAAACCACTGATATCTGTATTTATTAGCCCAAACAAGGCTGTAAATCAGTCTATTGTTAAAATGCCATAAGTCTGTTTACAAAG